AGAAGTGAAGATAATAGATGCAACTGTGGGTTAAATGCTGTTATTCGGACTTCCTTTACTTTCCAAAGCATGGGTAAGAGGTTTAGATGTTGTCCTAAGAAGAAGGTAATTACACAATATCTCTGTCTTTTTTGTCAGTGGTTTAGGTTTTTCTTAATTGATTATTTAACTAGATTTTTATGTAGAATCCTTGCAATTACTTCCATTTCCTAGCTGGTGAGGAAAAAATCGAGGGTAGAGCGATGGAGTTGCTGCTGGTTTTGAAAGATAAAGAATGCAAAGTTGTTAAAGAGAAAGAGAATAATGCAAGAAAAAGATGAGCTTTTGTTGGAAAATGGAAGATTGATGGAGGAAAATGGGAAATTGTTGACTGAAAATGGGAAATTGTTGCAAGAAAATCTGCAATTGAAGAAACACAGTGGATTAATGGATAGAAAGGTGAGTGTTTTGGAGAAGAAAGTGAAGAAGCTGGAGAAGAGATACTCAAAAGCTGTGATGATCAGTGAAGTGACATGTTTGGTTTTTTTGAGTTTCATTGGTTTGATTTCTGGTGTATTGCTACTTAGAATCACCAGATATTAGGCATGTGGGTCTTCGATTGTGGTTTTTGCAATTCCATGTAAGAGATGGTTTTTGTAATTCCATGCAAGAAAATGGTGCTATATCATCAAAATTGGCTAAGTTGGTTTTTCCACGTAGGCATGAAAAAATTAAAAGTGGTAATTGTTGGACACTTAACGTGCCAAGTATGCAGTCTGTCAACGGAAGGACCATTTGGGTTCCAGAAAAATGAAGTTAAAGGACCACTTGGGTGCTTTCTGTAGTTAAAGGATGAATTAAGTTTTGAAATGAAAGTTCAGGGACCAAATTGGGTATTAAACCTTTTTTTAAATATGAGGAAATTTTAGGAGAAGGAGAATTTTTTTAAGGTAATAAATAAAAATAAAATTTTTAATCTATTTAAACTATATTTTTAAGTTTGATGAGTGAACTAATAAATTTAATGAGCTGGTTTGGGCAGCCACCACTTTTTGTTGGGTAAAAAATTAA